GGGTTCCAGGGTGGTGATTCCACAAAGTCTGCGGGCTAAGGTGCTGCAGCTGCTGCACGCGGGGCATCCTGGCATTGAAAAGACCAAAATGGTGGCACGGTCACACGTTTGGTGGCCTGGCTTGGACCAGGACATCGTGCACCAGGTGCAAGGCTGCCAAGTCTGCCAGGAGAACCAGCGAGCCTCGCGCCACGTGGAGATCACCCCCTGGCCGTTCCCACAGAGGCCATGGTCCCGCTGGCACGTGGACTATGCGGGACCCTTCAAGGGCCACTACTTCCTGGTGGTAGTGGACGCCTTCTCCAAGTGGGTGGAGGCACTGCCAGTCACCAGTCCCCCGGCAAGCGCGACTATTGCGGCGCTGCGGCAGGTCTTCGCGGCGCAGGGATTGCCGGACATTATTGTGTCCGACAATGGTCCCGCTTTCGCTAGCGCCGAGTACCTGGACTGGCTGCAGAGCAATGGAATCCGCCGGACGCTGGTTCCGCCGTACCACCCCGCTTCCAATGGTGCAGCAGAGCGGGTGGTACAGACCCTCAAGAACAAGCTGAAGAGGAGCCAGCCCGGGGATTTCCGGACGCAGGTAGCCCGGGTACTGTTTCAGTACCGGACCACACCCCATGAGGTCACTGGCTTTGCCCCCTGCGAGCTTCTGCTGGGCCGGATGGTCAAGAGCCCCCTGGACGTCTTGCATCCAGACCTCCGGTCCACGGCGCTCCTGAAGCAGCTGAAGCAGAAGCTGGCTGCTGACCGAGGGTGCCGTCCCGGGCCTTTGCCGGAGCCGGGAGCGTCGGTGTACGCCAGGAACTTCCGTCCTGGCCCACCCTGGTCTGCCGGACATGTGGTTTCACCAGCGAGCGCCTCATCGCAGCTCGTCCGCATGCCCGACGGGACCACCTGGCGCCGGCACGCCGACCATGTCAGGCCTCGCCTCGGGACCTGGCTTCCACCCTCGGCCGTCGCTTCAGAGGACCAGCCTGCAGGGGGCCCAACAACAGCAACAGTAGCGGCCAGCGGAGCGCCATCCACCCCGGAGGCGACAAGCGTCGCCACTCCTGTGGCACCAGTTGGACCGGTGCCACTCCCCAATCCGGTCCCTGCAGCTCCACCGGGTGGAGCGCGACCAATTCAGGCAGCGCCCGGCGTTGCCACACCTGGCCCGTCGACACCAGTGGTCCGGCGGAGTACGCGGCAGCGAAGGCCACCTGACCGCTACTCGCCGGGGTGACGTTCAACATCGGCCGGCCAGGACTTGGCACGACCAGACGCCATGTGCTGTCGGTTGTGTGTGTTATTTAATTTATTTTGTTTTAGAAAAAACAAACTGCGGGGGAGGGGTGTAACAAGTATGTAGCGCCCCCCTCCAGTCCGCCCGTCTGTGGCCGCCAGGCTCGGCGGGCAACATTGTTCATCGCGCCAATAAACACCGTTGAGCACACGCTGCTCCGGTCAGTCATCATCCACCCTCACAACCAGGCTGCGTGTCGTCTCTCCTCGGCGGTTGCTTCGGCCCCCTTCGTCCACGTTCGAGAAAGATCGTGACAGAGGGTACCCGAACAAAGGGCGATGTTCACAAACCTTTTGCCTCACCTGTACGTTCTGATGTGGGGCCGTAGAGTGCGGCAGTCTCTATGCAATCTTATCCTCATCACCACATGATAGATCCTGGCCAGTAGGTGATGACCGGATAACATAAACTATTTATTGATTCAAGATACAAAGGCTACGTAATGAAGATAAGATAGGTTCACTGGCTGGCGTTGGCCGTTGACGGCGTGCTTCGTATTTTTTCCGCGGTGTGGCGTAATCTTCTAGGATTGCGATCCGTGTCCCAAATGGTGCCACCACTCTAGACACAACAGTACCATGAACAATCTATTGAAACTGTGGCTATTTATTTATTTATTTATTACATGTACCCTCAGGGCCTTTGGCATTGAAGAGGGGAGTGGTTACAAAAATGGTGTTGAAGTAAAAGAAAGCAGTTACTAGAAATACAAAAAAATGGCGTCTATTCATACAATATTAGTTAAGGCATTCTTGAACAGGTGGAGGTCTTCGATTGAAGCTGTTGGTACGGGAAGGCGATTCCACTCTTCTGATGTGCGTGGGAGAAATGACTGAAAAAAAGCATTAGTCCTGCACGATGGGACACCGACCTTATGGACGTGATCTAATCGAGATGAAACGTATTGGAGAGGTAATATAAGTTCGGTGCGGAGATGGGGGTGATAAAATAACTTGTGAAAGAGGAAAAGACGAAAGTTTTTACGACGAGATGACAAAGACGGTAAGTCAAGGCTGAATTTCATTGTGGTTATGCTCGCAGTTCTGTTATAGTTGGACAAGATAAAGCGAACAGAGTTATTCTGGGCCATTTCGAGTGAGTGAATTAGATTTTCATGACAAGGGTCCCAGGCTGAAACGGCATATTCGAGTTTTGGACGAATTAGTGTTTTGTAAAGTAAAAGTTTTAGAGATGAGGGAACTTTTGCAAAATTACGTCGAAGATATCCCAACATACGGTTAGCGTTATTAATTATATATGTTATATGAACTGTCCAAGTGAGATTTGATGTGATGTGAATACCAAGATATTTATAACTAGTCACAGCATCTAGGGGCGAGTTATGAAGATGGTAAACAGGTAGATTATGATTTTTCCTGGACACCCGCATAAATTTACATTTGTTAATGTTCAATTGCATGCACCACGTTTTGCACCAAACAGAAATAGCGTTAAGATCGGACTGGAGCGTGTTAATGTCATTTTCACAAGTTATTTCCCTAAATACAACACAATCATCGGCAAACAAATGAATATGGGAAGAGACACAAGAGGGTAGATCATTAATGTATATAAGAAAAAGAAGAGGTCCGAGCACAGAGCCTTGTGGCACACCGGAGTGAACGCCACTCGGCTGAGAGAGGTGATTATTAGCTACAATGAACTGCGAGCGGTTAACCAGAAAACATTCAAGCCAGATAAGAAGTTTTGGGTCAAGGTTAAGTTGGTGCAGTTTATAGAGTAATAGCTTATGGCTTACCTTATCAAAAGCTTTTGAAAAATCTAAAAAGATGCAATCGGCTAATGAGGAATGGTCAAGAATAACATTTAGTTTATGAAGGACTGATACCAATTGTGTTTCACATGAGTAGGTTTTTCGAAAGCCATGTTGTGACGACGTGAAAAACGAATTAGATTCAAGGAAGTTGGCGAGGTTCGAAGATAGTATATGTTCGAAAATTTTACATGGGATGCTGGTTAGTGATATTGGTCGGTAATTAAGTGGAGAATGCTTGTTACCTGATTTATGAAGTGAAATCACCTTCCCGACCGTCCACTCAGCTGGAAGACAACCATTATCGATGGTCTGTTGAAAAATTTTTGACAGGATAACTGAACAATAAACGCTCGTACATTTTAAAAATTTGGGGCTGATGAGGTCACAACCAGGAGCGGAGGAAAGTTTAAGTGATCTAAGTATGCTTTCGACACCTAAAGGATCTATGATTATCGGGAACATAGCAGGGTAGTCGTAAGAATAGGTAGTTGGTAGTGAGATGTCGGAAGTTACAGAAAAATTACGCGTAAAAATTTCATTGAAGATAAACGGACATTGATGAGGGGGAATGAGATTCCCTGAACTGTCAACTAATGAAATATTATCATCATCAGCAGGATTTATCACGCGCCAAAATTTTTTAATGTCGGTTACAAGCATGGATGGTAAGGTAGTATTATGGTATTTTTCTCTGGCTGTTTTAATGGCCGCCACGTATTCATCAGAAGCCAGTTTGTAAGCGGCCCAACGAGCATCGTCTGATGATGAATTGGCCGATCTGTACAATCGCTTTTTTCTGTTAGATAGACGTCTGATGTGGGGGTTATACCAGGGAGCATTACTGTTAGATATGATAGTGCGGGTAGGAATGTACTTATTAGTTAGGTCGTTGATCTTGGCCACGAAGATATCCCAGTTGGATTGCACGCTGCGAATTTCAAAGTCCTTTAAAAATGTTTCGAGGAAGACAGATAGGTCACTATTAATAGCCTCAAAATTTGCCTTTTGATAATTACGAATAGTTTTCATTTTTCTTTTAGTCTTAACGCGCTGCAGGTTGACGTGAAATGACAAAAGGGTATGATCACTCAAGCCAGGTAAGTAAGTAATTTCTGAGATGAGATCAGGGCAAGATGTTAGTACAAGGTCAAGGGTATTCGCGACTGATTCGGTTATTCTTGTGGGTTGCTTGACAAGTTGCGTGAATGAAAACAGAGAACATAGATTTAGAAATTCATCTGCTAGAGTGGAAAAAGGTTGCATACAAGGCGATTCGCTGTCCCATGAAATATTAGGAATATTAAAATCGCCCAGTAAAAGTAAAGGTAATGTAGGATGACGAGACACAACTAGGTTAATTACGTCATGTAGCTCGTTTACGAAGGTGGAAGAATAATTAGGGGAACGATAGCAAGCACCAACAATAACCCTTTGCCGATTCATTTCAATAATAGCCCATACCATTTCCAAGTTGCTGGGGATATGAATACACTGGGAAGGCAATTCCTTGGAAATGGCCAAAAGAACGCCGCCGCCTCGACGCGTTGTGCGGTCGCAGCGATAGACAGAGAAACAATGTGCTGACTCGAAGATTTCATGATCGCGAAAATGAGGATGCAACCAGGTTTCAGTTAATGCTATGATATGAGCATTGCAGGTATCTATAGCTGAGGTTAGTGAATCGCGCTTATTAGTTATGCTACGAATGTTACAGAAAAGAACCGATACATCAGATACGTTAAGACCACAGCCCCTCGCGTTTCCCTATCTCTCCTCGTGTGCTGAGGTGCTCGGCTGTGGGTTATCAGGAGCGCGTTGGGGCGCAAGTTCGACTACGCTCTCGGTTGCCATGTCATACACGTATTGCTTTTTGTTTATCACGAGCTTATTGTGGCGCAGTTGGAATGTTGGTGACTGAGGTAGGTTTTCAGCAAACTCGATAAGCTTTCTTCGAGCAATACGCGTGGCGGGCGAGAAATCTTCGCTAACAGTAACGTTTATTTCCCTCAGCTTAGCGCGTGCCGAAAGGATCTTATCTTTTATTTTGTAGCCAGAAAGCTTAACTATGATGGGGCGGCATTTGTTCGGCGTGAGTGGCCCCAGACGATGGGCGCGTTCAATGGAATTTTCAGGCATGGTATCGAGTGCGTTTGTCAAAATTCTTTTCACGTGTGCCTCAGACTGCTCCCATGACTCGCGAGAGTCGGGAATGCCATAAAAGAGTAAGTTGTCACGCCGCGACCTGTCCTCCAGTTCGTCGAGGCGGGATTCCATTGAGTCATGCTGAGTGGTTAGCACTTTTACCGAGTCCTGAATTTCGACCAGGTTCGTGTTAAAATTGTCGAGTACCTTTGTTTTTTCTTCAAGGGCGTCTAGCCGTTTTTGAATGTGGCCAATTTTAGTTTCAATATTTTTTTGGCCAGTCTTTATTGATTTTACGTCAGCGACCAGCTCAACTTGACTCTGTGCCGATTGAACAGACCGTGCCTGAAGGTCTTTTAGAAGGTGAAAAAGGACAGCCATCTGTTCGGACGGCTCGTCAGGCAGAGTGTCAACCTCCAGAAGAGTCCCAGAACGAGTATGAGGGCCCGGATTCACTTCGACGTCACCGCAGCGCAATAGCAACCGAAACATCGAAAAACAATCACAGGCAATTTCACAAAGCACTCCTGGGCACGGGAGCAAGAGCAAGTAGGGGTCGTTACTTTTTTTGGCGTAAAGAGAAAATTGATTACACACCTGCAAAGCGCAGAAGCGCGGCATTAGAGCCATGTCGACGCCACTGCTCCCGTGCCCACTGGAGAAGCAGTCGCGCTGCCAGCCGTTTAAGAGGAGGGCGGGAATTGATGTCGCTGTCGATGACGCTGCGGGACCACGAACTGGTTGCAGCAGACGAGGGTGATCCGGGACAAAAGAGCTGACGACGTGCTGCTGGCCGACGCTCTCGTTAGATTGTAATCCGATGGGGTATCCGGCTGTATCGCTTGGCGAAGTTGAAGACAGGGGCAGGAAAAATGCCAGGAATGCCTGCAAAGCGCAGAAGCGCGGCATTAGAGCCATGTCGACGCCACTGCTCCCGTGCCCACTCTGTTGCCAGAAACTTTCGAATAGGACACTGAAGTAAAAATTTTTGTCAGAAAAAAATAGGTGATTACAAGCACAGAGACGTCAGAACCATTCAGCAGATTGGGGGGGGGGCGACGGCAATTTTTCGCCCCTCCCCCATATCTTTTCCATTAAATTTCTGACCTGTCGGGGGGGGGGGCAGTCTCTCCTCCTGCCCCCCTATTTCTTTGCGACGCCACTGTACAAGCAGAATGTGATTACAACCATTGTGTCTGCAGTCCACTGTATACTGGTGGTTGAGGCGACGGCCATTTGCAGCGAGAGCTATGGTAAAATGCGCCTGATTCAGCTGTAGCACTTGCTATGTATCGCGGCGATAGTTTCATTGAGTCGCCCCGCAACAGAGTAACCGTCAAAGGAAAGAAAGCCCGAGTGGCAGAGAAGGGGTGCGGCTGCACAGTTGGCAGGACTCTTCGTGGCGGTGCATTGACGGCACTTTTTAACATTTATGTTCACATACTCTTTGCATCAGCCTTGCCCGTTCGTGATAACGATGCCCTTTGCCTTTGTCTTCATGATGTAGTTTCCATATTTTGAGGGCACCTTCGGGGCCTCCTCGCCGAGTACGGGAAGCATGCCTCGCCGCGAGCTCGGCCAGGCAATGATCAGTCGGCAGTGGCCCCCAAATGCATGCTCGCTGAAACGCCGCCACCGAGACATCGGCCTTTGCGGTCCACGACATATGGATCCTTGCGTTGTTTACCAGTATTTCACTAACTCATAACTTTACTATGAGTGGTGTCTAGAGCCGCTGGTCAAATAATTGTGGGATTCCAGTTACTCCTTGAACCGCATATTTAAATTTGTTCTTCCGACACAATGGCCTTTCGCATCAAAACTTTGTCGGTGGCATATAGGAACTTTCTACTCGTAGCACACTTTATCAACGCCGAAATATCCCGTACGTGCTGGTTGAATGTCGTCATCATAAGTTTGGCACAGTTCTTCAAGTTCACATGCCAAAAACCAGGTAGTTTTGTAGAAAATATGGTGCACATCACTGCATGTCCGGGCAATTTGTGGCATCCTATGCCTTGGTAAGTGCTTCCATGTGGTGGGAAGTCAATCACCAGCATGGTGCGGGGCCCCCGTTCGTTTGCCGCCTGATAAGCAAGTTAGTTGCTTCGTTTTATATGAACCACAGGCAGTCCAAGGAGTTGTGGCTACTTTTCGATACAGTGCAGTCAAACGCACTGAAACGAAACTGTGTGTATGGGTCTTTACGCCGCTGCACTTCCATTTTGGACCGGCAGTTTGTACTTTCTTTCGTTGTCGTTCCCACTCGGCTTTGACGTCAGTGGATCATAGATGAAGGTTGCTCAAACATAAAAAGGGAGATGAATAGTTAGGTGTCTTGGCTGAATGTGCCTTAAGCAATTTCGACAAAAGGCAGCAAGAAGGGAGATGATTGTAAGGATTGCAAAAGAAAAAAAAAGCTTTGATGCTGACTGCATGCCACGTTGGCGGTGACATCGCTCAGGCTTGTACAAATGCAATGGTGCGCGAGGCAAACACCTTTTTTTGCGGGTGCGGTCCTTACACGTGTTTATTACAGTAATGACTTTCATTTTTACTTAGCTGAGTGTAAAAGTCGTTGCATTTTTTTATGATGCCATCATTTCTTTAGTTTTGCATGTTGCTAAATGAAATACATAATGCAGTGGAATTTTTTTGAATACTTGGAACCAGAAAGACATTGAAGAAAACTAACCAAAAAATGTTTATTGTATTTACAAAGTAAAGCTAAAACGGCAATGCCTCTTTGCCAAACTGAAGGCCCCTCCTCCCCTTTAAGGGCATTGTTGTTTTTTCCTCCCTGTTCAATATAGAAGTCTGCTGCCTTTTTCATAATTTCGGCAGCCTCACAGGCTGCCCTTGCTGCCCTTGCCTGCTCTTCCGATGCCCTTGCCTGCTCTTCCGTCGCGTTCAGTTTGGCAAGGAGGCACTGCCGTTCTAACTTTATGTTCTCGTGTTGTTGCTCCAGGATGTCTCTAAAAAATTGTTTGTCTGCAGCCCGTGTGCTGGCTGCCGAGCCTGCGGGTGGTGTGCTGGGCCTCCAGACCGGTCGTGGACGAGGTGGTCCCCGCCAGCCCAGTGGTGCCGGTCGCCCTTCAGCAGCAGCTGCTGCCTCAGGCGGTTCCCCTGCCACAACAGGAGGCCCGTCCCGACGTAGCAGCGCAGCTGCTGCACAAGGCTCCACCGGTGCCTCATCCTCGTCCAGCGGCCAGTCCGGAGGCTCGTAGTCTTGGGTGTCTTCGGATTGCGGCACCTCGAGCAAGGCGACCCCGGGGTGCACGTCGACCTCATAGATGAGGTCCCCTCCTCCCACCTCGTTGGTGGTTGGCTGCACGCTGACTGGTGCTGTGCTGGCCCTAAGGAAAATACACCAGAATGTCAGTCTTGTCCCCCTTGTACATAATTTGAGAACACTCTTATTTGTATTTCATTCATGCTTTTTGTGTGCATGTGGATCAAGCTCGACTCCTCAGCTCTCGGCCATTGCTGCTATTAGTTGTGAAAGTATGTGGGCTTTAGTAGAGCCAGTCTACAGTGCGCAGGTCAAGCCCGATCTTGGCTGTTGCGGCTATTAGTTGTGAAAGCAGCTGGCTTCATGCAGATCCAGTGTGCAGTGTTGATGCCGGCCACATATTTCTGGTTGTTTGTCCCTACAATTCTGTTTTATGTCAAAAAGACTACCATGTTGAGCAGCACATGTGCTCAGGGTGATTCCAAATTTAGTGTTAGTGTCTACTGGTCGGTGCTTAATAAATTGTACTGACTGTACACCATATTTGAACTGACTGCTCAGGATTACTTCTGATTATTTTTATTTATCAATACTGTTCACCCTTTCAGGGTAATTTTATTCCAGAAAAGACATTCCTCATGGTATGCAATGTGCATGTTGGAAGTGTTGCAAAAGCTTGACGTCAGCATATGCTTAGCAGCTGCGAACTCAGCTGTGACAGTGAATGCTACCTACAAAATGAGCGAGATTTCAGAGCACTAATGTCGCACAAATATGTTTATGTAACAGACTGTCTCAGCTTTGTGCCTTCATTCATTTGACTTGCAATTTCAATACAACGGACCTGAAGCAAATGAGGTCCAAGCTTTGTGTTTGTGACCTTTGGGTCTACGTAGCTGTAGAGGTTTCAACATAAAACAATATATTTGTTTTGCTGTTTGTCATAGTTCGGCTTGACTTCATAAAAGTCTAGCCTGTATACTGTAGTCGTGCGATAATTCAAACTCTGATATTATACTTCTGGTTAATTCAAACAAATTTCCTAAGTTTGATTTCTCGTTATGTTCTTAGTGTATCCATATGCCACTTAAACCGAATGCCGTGTTTGCCTGTAATTCATATTTTTTGTTCTTGCAGCCCTTTTGTTGAGTGTGCTTCTTTCCGAGCACCGGTGCACTGCAGAGGGAACACCCATGGAGCTGTTGCTTCTCCGCAATGCACCGGCGCTCGGTGATAAGCGCACTCAACGGGACTCATGCGGAAATTTCTACAGCAGCTTGCGCAGACGCTGTGATCTGGTTTTCTTTTTTTTTTTTTTCTTTATTGGTTACAACGATGCAGCACAAAGTGCTATGTCAAGACAACACATTTGCCCAGCACTTGTGGGCGCACTAAAATTCTTTCATATTTTTAATCTCATCAAACAGGTGTGCCCAGTCAGGTGCAGTGTCTGCACTCCTGCACATCACAGATTGAACCTCCGTAACAACCTCAATGAAGTGTTTCTGCACTGATTTGATTTTGGGATCAGCATGTCGAAATTCCATACGCGTCTTCCAGACGCTAAACAACCCAAGCACCATGAACAGGTCATACGGGACCGTGTCACTCTTTTCGACTGGCAGATATCGAATAGTTTCGTGGGTCAAATCCAAATCTTTTTTGATTGTTCTTTGCAAGATGTCCCAGAAGAACACCGCGTCCCAACAATATAAGAAAACATGTTCGATGGTTTCAGAAGTCTTACATAGAAGACAATTCACACCCCAAGGAACAAAGATTCCTTTTTCTTCTAGCCACGGTTTGACTGGTAGTGTGCTGCTGTGCAACTTAAAAAAGAAAGACTTAACAGCAGGTGGGATGCACATCTTATTCACCCTACAAAGCACATCTTGTCCGGGGCATTCGCTGTATAGCGAGCGATACAGCGGTGCTGGAAACAACATTTGAACCAGGTCGCGGCTTAGCCGTTTTTTCGTGACACTTCCCCGATACTCCATTGAAAAACGTGCTTGCAAAAACACTGTTGCTTCTATCACTTCTTTCAAAAATCCCATTAGTGCCGGAGGTTCGGTCCATTCGCTGGTTACTAACATTGATGTCAGGGCGTTCGCCAGTCTTATCTGGATTACAGTGCGCAAAAAAGGGTGATTCTGATCACGCAGAAAGAAGAAGCGTAAAACGATCTTTCTGACAAAAAGGTGTGTGAGGCCCAGGCCTCCGTACTTTACCTTCCGAAAGAGGTTGTCCCTTTTCATCCTTTCCCAACTCGATTTCCAGATAAAAGTGGCGAACACCCTGTGGAATCTCAGTATGTTCATGCGTGCGCACGCAAGGACCTGCAAAACAATACCATAATTTAGCTGCCAGGAAGACATTGCACACTGTGGCTCGTGTGAATATAGAGATGTTTCGATTGGCCCAAGTGTTAGCCTTAGTCTTTAGCTCTTTCAATACTTCGATCCAGTACGGTGTGCTATTCCGGTAGTACTGCATAGGCACCCCGAGATACGTACATGGTGTGAGTTCCCAGTGTATGCCGGCAAAGTAATGAGGTTTTAACGTCCATCTACCATGCCACAGCCCACAACATTTCCCCCAGTTGATTTGGGCTCCCAAGGCTTTACAAAATTCATTCGTTAACGCAACAGCCTCCATCACACTCTTTTCATCACTGCAGAAAACG